GACATCGTTTATACATGTAAAAAAAAGTTATTCAGTTCGAACGCGTCAAAGATACGTGCAATAATATCTTTGGCGCTGCCGACATATCACCCTGATAAGAAAAATATTAACATTTTCTCAACACTCCACGTACGCTAGTATGCTCACACTATACACTGAAGACAAAACAAAATTTAGGAAGCAAGATGTCAGTTCGCCTTACGATAGTGCTCATACTCTCACTCACTCTCTCTTTCTCTTTCTTTCTCTCTCACAAGACACTCACGTATTTTCTCGCGCGCGCGCGAATCGCATCTCCGTTTGTAGAAGTAGAGATATAAAATTTTACAGGATTATTATTACCACAAGAATGGTCTGAACGTCCTCTCTCGTTCTCTCTCTCTCTCTTTCTCCCCGTGAAAATTATACAGCAACTTCCAGCTTGATTCCAACTATTCGTATTCGAGGTCAATCAACGCGTGCTCGCTTACAAAAGTCATCTTCAGGACATCAAAACCTTTTATTTCGTTTCTCAATGAATAACGGTAAATTAAATATATAGTAACAAAATAAAGAACATGCCATTTTTTTGGCTAGCAGGCTGGCTGGCTGGCTGGCTGGGTCTCACTCGCATTTCCAATCCAAAGAGTTCAATCAACCGAAACTCTAAGTACTAATGTCACACAAAGTATGTCGTGTGTAACTTTGTGAATTACGTGATATACACATCTTCCCGTGTCGCATTGTAAGAATGTTGCATTTCTAATCACATAATCATACGCTCTCTCTCTCTCTCTCTCTCCATCCCTTTCATTCTCTCGCTTTCCCTCTCTCCCTCGCACAGCGAAATTAGAGCCTTGACTGATACGACTCTTTGAATGAACAATTTGTAAGAAGTTCGATACCTCTCTCGTATAAAACATTTCAGCGATCGCAATCAAGGTTGTTGCTACGATCTGGAGTTATAGTCTTAGCGCGCTCCTGGAACAAACGAAAGCGACGTTGAAATTATACAAAATAATTATTTAACTGATTGATCTTTGTTAAGGATAACACATGGCTGCGCGAATCTCGTTCTTTGCTAATGTCACTTTTCTATTATATCACACATGACAGCGTGTTGTACGTCAATGTAAGTTTCTTTCGTTACAATTTTATGATTTAGAAGACGCACGCTATAACGAGTCTCCTTTAGACAATTTCTAAGATCAAGATCAGATTATACAATATACCAGTGAAATCAGCAATGAATGCGATACATTAAATCTTCCAAGTTTTATGTGTGAAGCTAAAGAGACACTCGATGTAATAAGATACGTCGTATTTCAAACAATTTGGCAATGTCTTTGAATAAATTCACAACTTGTTAATTATTTACCGTGATAACCGTTCTTTGCAAATAAGTTCTCAGAGAAACTTGAAACTGTGCACAAACTGTAAAAAAAATGCGTACATGTCGATACACATCAAAAATTTGGTTGAAACAAAAAGAAAATTGTAACATAGAACGCACTTTTCTATGCGTTTAATATTACTGTGCGTTAATTGATTTCTGGTTAAATGTTAATCAGAGTGAAGCATACTTGTATCTCCGCAAATGTTAGTCGTTATCATTAGTAAAGATGCAAAGAGAAATCTATCGTCCACAAAATTTTGCGAGGTGTCGGTTGATCGGAGCGGAAGGTTAGAGGCATTTTTACTTCGGGACTTCGACTTATTGCTTCTTGGTAGAGTGATTTGTGCCAATTGATACGTTATTGAGTTTCGTAGCGGGCTCCAACCATTTTTTCAACTTGATATTCGCTATTAAGATGAATCGATGTTAAGAACGTTAATGATTGTGGTGACCGCACGTAGCACAATGACACGGGAGATATGTATGCATGGATTCCTAATGGAATCTACAAACTATGTGCACATGCTACAAAAGATCGATTCCAAAAACTTTGGTTGCACCTGATTGAGCGTTGGCCTGAGTAGGTGCCTGACCTTGGCTTTGTCCTTGCCCTTGAGCACCTTGAGCACCTTGAGAGGGACCTGGTCCGGCTGTTGCCACCCCACCACTGATAGTACTGTTCCCTACTTTTTGCTTCAGTATCGTCCAATCGAATGTGAAATCGTATTGATGGTTCAACGTACGGAAAAGTATGCGGAAGAGTTGACGTAAATACATGTAATCTGGGCTCTCTTCGAAGCGTAAGCCTCGCGTATAATTCAAGTACATCGCGAACTCGGCGGGGAATCCCTGAAAAGATAAAAAAACATACAAGATACTCCGTGTTACAGATGCAAGTGTCATACGGGAGCGACACGCGCCAGAAAAATACGTAAGATGCATTGGGTGTACCTTGCATAAGACTTCAACTGGCGTTGACATTTTCTTCTCACTAATTTTTTCATACTTCTGCTTCTTCGTCGCCGCCTTGAGACCTTGCCAGGGCAATGATCCCCGGTTAAAGTACATGAGGACGTAACCAAGTGATTCCATGTCATCGCGACGACTCTGCTCGATCCCAAGGTGTGCGTTAATAGAAGCATACCTTGCAGTACCGGTTAAGTTTTTATCTTCACGATATATTATGTGCAGTCTTGTACGACTGTCTCTGTACTTCTTGGCCAATCCAAAATCAATTAGATATAGCTGCAACATTGGTTTTTTCATAGTTTAGAGCATCGTGTGAAATTAATCTGTGATATGGATTAACAGCAAGCAGAGGGTTAATAAAAACATTTACCTTGTTACAATGCCGACCAATACCCATTAAAAAATTGTCCGGTTTTATGTCTCTGTGAATGAAGTGTTTGCAGTGAACATATTCAATCCTACCGATCATTTGATCCGCCAACATCAAGACTGTCTTAATAGTAAACCTTCTTGAGCAGAAGGTGAACAGATCCTCCAAAGAAGGCCCGAGAAGATCCATGACAAGAACATTGTACTCGCGTTCTTGACCATACCTAAAAAAACATCGCAAGTCTTATGAATTCTTTGATTCTCATAAATTTGAATTGATAATGTAACTTACACGATCCATTGCAATAATGGAAGCCGCGCAGAAGATAAAATATCTAAATAAAATACACGAAGGATAAGGTAATTAGATTCTCTAATTACCAGCGTATATGCGGTATTCCTATGCCACCGTGTAATATTTTGTACAGCTTTGACTCGTATAAAAGCTGCGGGTGCCGGGCTCTCATGTTCTCCAACTTGACTGCAACTTCCTAGAATGCAACATGCGCTGTCAGATTATGTAGCGTCTCACAGATTCCTCTGACTCAAAAGCCACAAGAAACTAGACGAGTGAGTGACTAACAAAATTATGCAACATGATGACTCGCAGAATGATTGCGTTTTAAAAAGTCTTAACGTAGTTCTTAAAGATAGTATTGTAAAAATATTTTTCAAAGATAGACTTGAACAAGCGATAATAAAATACAAGCATAAGGCGGAATAACTGTATCCTAACATCCAGAAGTATTAGTTGAAATGTGTGTCAATTTAAGGGTAATGTGGTTCATTGCTTGACAGTGATTCTACACTGGCACGATACGCAATCCAATCAGAATATGCTCTTTAATTGCATAGAGAACGATAAGTCACTCTAGCAGGATTTTAAGTTACATATGAATCACACCTGAACTCTACTCAAGCTGAAAGGTAACCGAAAGGTAACGCTAACAACGATCGGCTGAACAGGGAAACAAGCAGCGGTAGAGACGAAACGATCATTGTCATATTTTCACCTCTGCCCGTCGCGATTAATTCCACCTTCCTTCCTGCGCCTTATAACCTCGCGAGACACAGAACCCGGGACCTGGTCGATCTCGACGAATTCCGGCGAGCCGTCTCGAGGCGGACACGCGGAAACCCGGACGCGGGCCACTTTCGTCAACGAGATACGAACGCCGTTCTCGGCGTTACACCGATAATTAATATTACGACGAACGCCGAAATTTATCTCGAGCGCAGGACACGCACGTCATTCGCGACACCGTGTGGGCATTTTCTCTCGGACGATCCGCACGGAGCGGCGAGCGTGTGTTGTACCCGCATTGCAATCCGTGGGGGGTGCGTTTGACCACGGGGAGCCTCGCCGTCGCCCGAGAAGAACCCGTCGCTCGGCCGACCGATGTGACGTATCGGCGGTGAGTTCGCGTTGCGAAGGGTCGCGAGAGATCTCTCGGTGGCCAGATCTCGGTCTCGCAGCGGAGGTCGCGTCGGCGTCATCGTCGTTGTCATGTTAATGAAAGAGCAACACCGATCGCGTGGACGACGAGGACGAGTCGACGGGAGCGTGAAGGGACGCAACGGGAAACGCGACGGAGGCGGTCGAGCTGGCAGCCAGCCGTGCTAACTACCGAGAATCTCTCCCTCTCTCTCTCTCTCTCGTCCCATACCTCGCCATTGGAGATGTTGATGCCGAGGTAAATGTCGCCGAACGAGCCCGAGCCGATCTTCCTCATCAACCTGTACTTGCCACCCGCAATAAACTCATTCTTTGTTATTGATATCGCTAACGACGCCATGTCACTACTCTCTCGGTGTGTCTTCTCTCTCCACTTCTTCCTTTTTCTTCTCACTGTCCGGCTCTACCCTCGCACTGCGTCCCCTATACGGCGGTGTAGTTTTGCACCTACGGTCTCTCTCTCTCCCTCTCTCTCTTTCCCACTCGTCCCACGATCCCACTTTCTCTCTCTCTCTCTCTCTCTTTTTCCGGCCGTGTATGCGGCTCCCGTTTTCGCGCACGCAGGTCGACTCGCAGATCGAGGCACAGAGAGAGAGCGATACCGGGGCGTATCAGGACGCTCCGTGAAAGCCGAAATCTCGGCTCGACTTCACAGCTCGCCTACGTCGGGGACGCTCGCGATATCACGATGTGCCGGGGTGTCTCGCGCGCGCTGCACACCGCGTCGGGGGCGAGGAGTCATTGGCAGTGGCACGTACGGCCGCACCGACAGCGCGCCGACATTTTCCCTTTCGCTGCGGACACGACTGACGGTTCCGGAAGCGATGCGTCACACGCAGCCAGCGACGGCAGAGACACCCGTTGCCGCTCAATGGAGCTACTCTTGCGCGTGGTTGCCCGCCGACGACGACGACGACCGTGTGGAGAATTGACGGCGGCGCCGATGGATCCTCGGAGATATCTCCTCTCTCTCTCTCTCTCTCTCGCGCGCGCGTTTCGTGTGATCGCGTCTCGACAACAGCCGTTTGCTCGCGCGTCCCGAGCGGCCTGAAGTCGCTCGCTTGAGGCCGAAGTACTTCGCGGGCGCTTCGAAACGCGCTTAGATCGCGCCACGAGCGCCCCCGACCTCCTGTCGCGCTCTCGTCGACGGGCTAACGGGAGTTTTTCCCCCGCTAGGCCGCGAGTCACCCGAACGAGCAGCTCGACGCGCGAACGAGCGAGTTCCGAATCTCGGTCGGCGCGCTGTCGCATTTTTCGCCAGCGACGAAACATGGCTATGTAAATACGATCATCCGAGCGATCGTCCCGATGACTCCGTGGAGCGGATCATCCGTACGGCGTGAATCTGCTCGCGAACGCCGATCCGGAACTCGGCCGATGTGGGTCAAAGGTGCCGTCTCGAACGCGTTTTCTTTCTCTCTCTGACTCTCCTCTCTCTCGCGGATACGGCACCGGGACCTCGTGCTACTTATTCGTATCTTTATAGACCATTGTTCGCGCGTGGCCGGCGGCGGCCCGTTGGCTAACGAGCGTCCGTCGCTCGAATGGTCCGTAATGACGACAACCTGACGGACTGTGACGGGAACAGCCGGAGAAACTCGCGCGCGATCGTTTCGGCCGCGAAGAGCGGTTTTTGAAGCGCCAATGATGACATCTGGCTTCGCGGACTTCTCGAGGCGCGCGCGCGCTCAACATGGCGGCGACCCGCTGATACGTCTTCGACGTGATGTAGAGTCGATCGCTTCGTCGATCGTTCGTATCTACGAGCCAGCGTGAAATTCAAGGTCTGCTTCCGGTGCCACGTCCCGAGAAGGGAAGACACCTTTGGAGAGCAGAGGAAGGAGACAAGCGGGATCTATGGCGAGCGTCCTGCTGCGAAACACTGCGGGTGTGAGGTTAGGCAGGCACCTGGGGAACAGTCTGAGAATAGTCGTGAGCCAGGAGAGGCACGCAATGACGAGCCGGGCGAGGCTGGGAAAGGTTCTCGAGGAGTTGCAGAAGAATCCCTATTACGATAAGTATGCGGGGAAGATCGCACAGATGCAGCGGACCAGCCCGGAGGAATTTCTGCAGCGCGTCGAACAGCAGGAGAAGAAGGCTTTCGAGAAGAGAGGTAAATGATCTTTAGATTGTGATCGCTTCAGCGACCTCACTTTTAGATCTCGGGTCAGTCGGAAAATTCGGTTCAATTGTTCGTAGATGTCGTAAAGTCTCTCTGGAATGGAAAGCTCCTAATTTTTTACTTGTTATATAATTAATTTTGATAGCCGTGCAGTAAACATCCCAGGCAGGACAAATGTTTAAAAAATGTCTTAAAGAAATCTTTAAGAAATCTTTGAGAAATTTGTTCCACCTGGGATCTAAAAGCGTAAATTTTCAAAATAGAAACGATGATATGTAATTTCAGTTATTCAGGTGTATTGTTTCACATATCCATGTTTATTGTAAACATTGGAGTGAAAGTGTGGTAATTTAATGACAATGATGCAGGCTACTTGATGTTTCCTGCATTTGCTGTCAATAGAACTAATTTTGGAGAGTGTAACAAAGTATTGTGCAATTAGAGAGTATCAGTTTAACCCAGGCAACATTAAGATGTTCTAAGGACATCTTTTAGAGTCTAAAATTTAGACAATAAGTGTCTTTTAGACACATAGGTGTTGTTGGGTAAGTATTTTTATTTCAATTTTGAGATTTGCATTTATCTAGTCTAAAACAAAACGAAGGAAGAAAGCACAAATATTGAGCAACAAACCTTATTAACTTTATTTTAAAACAAATGCAAATTTTTCCGTATATAACAGCATAACGCAATGTAAAAATAATTACTTATTAATTCTGTACAACAGTGAATATTATTTAGTACGCCTGTAAGAACGAACACACAGATTTTCCAGTTCTTGAAACTTCGAATATTCAGGTATTCGAGTATCCAAATATTTGAACTTTCACACTTCAAAATTTCATTATCCAAATATGACGCGTTGAAGGTTCGAAGTTCGAGGCTTCGGATATCATTTCTAGCCCCGATAAAAAAACGCTTCAGTGTACACTTCTTGAACTAACCGGTGCAGGAACAGAAAACAAACCTCTGATATCGTCATGATGTCCTATTTGCCGGAGCATTGGCAAGTGATGATAAACACAACAGCGACGAGTCGACCTACGAATGATCTTCCACTGAATGCGGCGATGGAGCCAAATTTAACAAGGAGACGAAACTCCTCGACAAATTTTCGACTGACCTGATAATTAGTCTGATACCGTTATCTCTATTCACCTTTTTTCCCGAGACGCTCATCCGCTCATGCTCATCTTCCTCGTGTGCGTCTGTTGCATTGGTGAGTGAGAAATGTTCGAACGTTATTGTTAAAGAGAGACGCGAGAGAGCTGCGAAGTTCTACCGGAGCGAGGCGAAGCCAATATTGGAGCAGTCCGGCACGCAAACGCAGGGAGGTCGGTTGAACGACATAATGAAGGTCGACATGATAAGAGACAAGTCGAAGGAGGAGATAACGGAGATATGGAAGGAGTATCACGAGCGGAAGGACTGCATTTGCGGTACGATGACGGCCGTGCAGTACGAGAAGATGTTCGCGCGCGGCGAGCGGTATCCCACGTTCCTCCTGCCGTTGCCACGCGAGCACGGTTACGAGTTCATAATGTGCCAGTTCTACGGCCCCGAGGTGCACATGACGCCGCTCCTTTGGTACCAGACACACAAGGAGAACGCGTCCGAGTGCTTAACAATGATACATTACACCGAATTGAGAGACGAGAAGGACGTCGTGCTTATGCGCGGGGAATTCGATACGAAATTGCTGGATGTGCAGGAGGCCCAGTGTCTGGCCAATGAGCTGCAGTTGTACTACTGTACCGACAATGAGCACAGGTTGCAGCTGCTCGACACGTTCACCCACAATCCAAATGAATTCAAGCACATGGATCTGATAGCTCAGCTGGAAACGATATCTCTCGAACCGGGCACCGTCGAGAATGAGAAATGAGAGATTTCGCGACGTCCCTCCGTGTTATGCTTCATTGTTGTGTAATGTATTGTAATTATGTGTGTATAGAATTATAGAAAAATAAACGTGTAAATCCAAGGCTGAGAGTCTGAACGTCACTTCACGCGCATTCGTGAAGATACTTTTGCCGCGTCGTGGAAATGCACCGTTCAATACGAACTTTATATTCCTTCGTAGAGAATACCTTCATGTCTGCTAAGCTGCGCTTGTAATGAACGTACGTAGTAAGTTCCCGGCCTGACGCAGGTTAAAACACAAATTCCCAGGTAATAATGAGTGGTTTGTGGTTCCGTTGATCATTGAAGTACACCGTATTGGATCTTCCTCGCGTATATTTTGTATTTCTTCTACGGAGAAGAAAGATCTCGGTTGCGACGATAACGAATGTTGTTGATTTGAATTTCAGTCGAGCACGTAACAACGCCCAGATACGAGCCCTCGAGATTCTCGATATTTCCTCATCTGTTGAAAAACGTACGGCCACCGTGGGGTCAAACGATCAGGAGACGATATGTTCAAGATCTGTCGCGGAACAAGTGCATTACCACGCCTATTTTTTACGTGAACGCTGGTACGCTGCATTCCTTTTTTTTCTTTTTTTTTTAGTTCAAATTTTTTGATCTCAAGCAAAGTCGACAATGCGATCGCAGGGTCGTGTAGTCGCAGTCGCTCGAGTCGGCGGTCCACTTTCAATTCCAACGACAGATGGTCATGCACGATCTTGCGACCGTTTTATAGACGAGCCTTTAATCCGGATCTACGACAGGTGTAATAAGCCTTTAGTGTTTTGTTGGAAATGTTAATATCAATTCAAGACTCGTATTCTCATATATATATATATATATATATATATATATATATATATATATATATATATATATATATATATATATATATATATATATATATATATATATATATATATATATATATATATATATATATATATATATATATATATATATATATATATATATATATATATATATATATATATATATATATATATATATATATATATATATATATATATATATATATATATATATATATATATATATATATATATATATATATATATATATATATATATATATATATATATATATATATATATATATATATATATATATATATATATATATATATATATATATATATATATATATATATATATATATATATATATATATATATATATATATATATATATATATATATATATATATATATATATATATATATATATATATATATATATATATATATATATATATATATATATATATATATATATATATATATATATATATATATATATATATATATATATATATATATATATATATATATATATATATATATATATATATATATATATATATATATATATATATATATATATATATATATATATATATATATATATATATATATGCAAGAATGTATAATCTTACATGAAAATAAAACTTGCTCTTATATACATGATAAATAATTTTCACGAATCTTGAGAGGAAAAAATATCGGGTAGAAAGCTAAAAAGTAGGTCTAGTAACTAAATTTTAACTATACGAGCAGCTGACTCCTTCTTTCGTGTTGCATCCCGGCGACTATCGATGCCTCGACATTTCCGTCGAAGAGAAATGAACATGAAACTGTTTCGAGAACCTCCTGCTAAAATTAACCCGATAAGCAATCTGTTAGCAGTCTGACGACAGATCGAGCAGGATCTGTCGACAAATCTATAGACATCTGTGTCCGCAATCTGCTGTTATGCCGTCGACGAATATGCTGATAGAATCTGATAACAAATTGGCGGCAGAAAGCGAGCAGGATTTGCAGTGTGTTCCATTTAAATACATCGGAACAACAGATCCCGTTCGATTCCTGCCGTCAGTCCGGCATCAGATTTTACGAGTAATACGAGAATACGAGTCTTGAATTGATAACTTCTTCCTCCTGCGTAGATCCAGCCTTACCGTCTGTTTGTCAGCAGTAAAACTAAAAACGAACGCTGTCTTTTGCATTGTCAGGTCCGCACATCGGACATTTGTACAGCGCGGTTCTGGCCGACGCCGTGGCCCGCTACAACGCCATGCTGGGTCACAGGACATTCCTGATCACCGGCACCGACGAGCACGGCAACAAGATCAGAGCGGCCGCAGCCGCGGCGGGCGCGCCGAATCTCGAATATTGCACGAAGGTCTCGCGGCAATTCAGGGAAATGTGCGATAGGTTCGAAGTGGATTACTCGCGTTTCATTAGAACCACAGAAAAGCAGCACCGTGACGCGGTGCATCACTTTTGGGTTCTTAAAACATTACTTTATTCCGACCGCCCGCGCCACGCTGGACGCGTGATCGGCTCACGCTGGAAATTGCGCATTTTCAGAAACGATTGGAGGAAAGGGGACACATCTATCTGGGGAAATACTCGGGATGGTATTGCGTGTCGGACGAGGCGTTCCTGTCCGACATGGAGTTGGCGGAACAGAAAAACCCGAGCGGTGAAACGATCAAGGTATCAGCCGAGTCGGGAAATACAGTGGAGTGGACGGAGGAGGAGAATTACAAGTTCCGACTTAGCGCCCTTCAAGACGATCTCAAGCACTGGCTCAAAGATGGTACGTTGCGGCTTCTATTTACGGCGATTCATTTTCTTCAACGAGCCTTTTCGTAACACTCTTCTCTCGAATCTTTATAGAGAATGTAGTGAGACCAGCATTGTATCACAAGATTTTGTCTGAGTGGGTGGAGGAGGGCACGTGTTTACGAGATCTGAGCATCTCTAGAGTCAGGAACAAAGTGCCGTGGGCGATGCCTTCTCCGTGCGACGAGTCGCACTCGATTTACGTGTGGATGGACGCTTTAGTGAACTACTTAACGGCTCTGGGGTACCCGGACGAGTCGTTCAAGGAATTCTGGCCACCCGCTGTACAAGTATGTTTTTTTTTTCAGTGACTTTTAACTGTTATCGAGTGTCCTGCAGGCTATCCTGCGAAATGTATAAATCACCGTTAAATTGCTCGACGAATTCTATATGAAAAGAATACGCTGATCGCGCGAACAGGTGATCGGGAAAGACATATTGAAGTTCCACGGTGTCTATTGGCCGGCATTCTTAATAGCGGCGGGTCTCGAGCCTCCAAGGACACTGCTCTGTCACGCTCATTGGACCGTGGATCACCAGAAAATGTCGAAATCGAAAGGAAACGTGATATCGCCGTTTGAAGCCGCGAATGATTACTCGGAGGACGGACTGCGATATTTCCTTCTGAGAGAGGCGGTGCCGCAGAACGACGCGAGTAAGACGAATCTGATTTTATTCGTTATGCAGAACGAGTACAATAATTCTTACCACTTGGGGTGTCTTGGGTCTTGGGAAAAGAAAAGAATTTTACTAATGATTCAATGGGAAAAGCGAGAAGAGTTTACATTTACTTAGAAGGTGTGTTCAAAGTGTTCCTTCCAGAAACTTTCAACGTACACCCTCATGCATTACAGATTACAGTTCGACGAAAATTACGAACGTACTGAACTCCGAATTGGCGGACACGCTGGGCAACCTGGTGAGCCGTTGTGCCGGCAAGACGATCAACCCGTCGAGGGAGTTCCCCGACCCGGCCAAGTATTGGAACGTGCTACAGTCTCAGACGGCCGTCGAGACTAAGGAGGCTCTGCGGTCTCTCGGCGAGAGTACGCGCAAGAGCTACGAGGAGTACAACTTGCACCACGTCGTGGACGCGGTGATGAGCGCGCTCCATTCCGCGAATAAGATGGTGGCACACCACGAGCCCTGGCAGCTGAGAAAGCGGCCCGATCATGCGGACTCGAGAGAGCTCAGAGCTGTGATCTCGCTCGCGCTGGAAAGCAGCAGGATAGCCGCTCTGATACTGTATCCGATCGCGCCGAGGCTGAGCGGCGGTCTGCTCGATTTTCTGAACGTCCGGAAGGAGAATCGCGCGTGGACGGACACCGTGCCTGAGTACTTCAACGGCGGCGGCGGCGCGAAAGAGAGATGCATCGAGCGGAACAGCGTAATATTGTTTAAGAAAATTAGAAGTCAATAAAGGAAAGAAAAAAAAAAATACCCAGAGTCACTACGGAGCCGGCTTATCGCGAATCTGTCGGTCGTAGAATCGCCCGACGCAATGAGAGACATCGATCGTTCCGTTTGTCGACGGAATGCGGGATGGAGGGAATCGATAGCAAGTAAGCAAAGAGAGAAAGATCTAATATTCTCATGTGTATCTCGAAGTCTCTTACTCTAATATATTTACAGAGAACGGTCATTCGAATATATCATTAGTATACATCAACATTGCGCACGAGTCGTGCCGGCGAGAGAGTCCCATGTTTGTTCTTTCACTCGTTCTTTCGTCCGTTCGCTTTTACGTTCGTTCGTTCGTTCGTTCGTTCGTTCGTTCGTTCGACTGTTCATTCGTACAGAGAACGTACTTTCCATTTCCAGTTAGAGTACCTCGGCTCAGACGCATCGAGTATCTGCGTCTTTTTATATCATGACTTGGTTTTGAGAAGAAAGCAGGGAGCACACACTGCTGCATAATGCATAACGCGTAATGAACCAAACAGAATCCTTTGTTTCTATCTTCAGGATGGAAATGAAGGACTTTGATTGGCTCATCCCCTTATGCGTTATGCAGAAATGTGTGCTCCCCGCTTTCTTCTCAGAACCAACAGTCGTAATACAAAATTATGTAGATACGATGTGAGCTAAAATACTCCAACCGGAAGTGAATGGCATTATTGGAGTTCTCTGTATACTCGGTTTCAACATGGTTTCAGTATTTTCTTTTTTTTTTGGAATGTAGCCGATGATCCTAACTTCTGGGAATTAATCAAAAACAAATTCCGTATGGGATCATTGTCTGTGTTTCAAACTGCATTGAATGAAAGTGTTCAAACCGTTTTGAAACCAAGTGTACAGCAAACTCCTGTTAACTACCGTTAACAGAGTCATCTGTACTTTTGTCCGTACGTCCGTTCGACCGATCGTTCTTACATGTTTATGCGACACGCATTATTTTCGCACGATACAACGCATTCGTGATGCACGCAGCAGCAGCAGTTCGCATTCCCTCTGCGCGCCGGATCGCGGTGCGCTCTGCGTATCGTAGATATAGATGTATCAAGGAAGCTCGACGGATCGCCCGCGAACGCCAGAAATTGGCCCGTGACTACTTCCTTCCGCTTGGATATGTCGTGATGCAGAATTGAGTTTTGAGATTCGACGGGTGGCACCGACGACGACGACGACGATCGTTATATATCGCGTCGATGTCCGAGCGCGGCCGCGGAGTCGAGATCTCGCCGGGTCTCCCGCGAATATCACCGCCCGCATGCGAGAGTCCTTTTTTCGCGGCGCGTCTCTCGTCGCGCGCCCCGTCAAATAGAAAAATAATTAAATGGCTATTTACAAGATGGGAAATGAATTTTCTCTTTTTTTTTTCTTCTGTAGACGCGCGGCGTCGCTCTCGCCGCGCGCTGACCTCCTATTGCTATTGAAGTTTTCTTCATTTTCTTTTCTCCTCCTCTTCCACATCTTTACGCTCTGCGAGACAGACGTTGCTATTTAGAAACGTGTCATCTCGAGTAACACATCCAGCTTTAACATCGTAGATCGGCTATCGACATTGCTCCATTAGTTACGATTGCTTGACGAGATTAGTATACTAAGCGCTACATTCGGATACTTTTTTTTTCTATTAATCGACAAATTTCTCCACTCTATGCCTGTCGTCGTATCACTTAGAGAAAGAGAGAAGGCGACGGGGGGGGGAGGGATAGGAAGAAGAGATACTACGATTTCGGTGGATCATGTCTTTTGGATATGCCTCGAAAGTTAGGTTCCGGTGATTGTCTTTAACGATGATCTCCGCAAACTGTCGCGCTCGCACGCATCGAACACCGCGTAGTCTTCGCGCTAAAAAAAAAAAGAAAGAAAAAAACAAAAAGAGAAGGGGAAGTGCCTTTTTATCGTAACGCTCAACGCTGGTTTTTACCGTCAAAATAGGTCACGTGATCAAAGTTGTTGGACAGTGAAAAACACACGGGAAGGGTATAACAATGTCGAATTTTGAATATTACAGTCCCGCACATACTTTCTCCTTGAGAATTGTATCATTCCGAAATAAGTATTATACGCGAAAAGACTGCACAGAAAAAATAATAAAACACATAATGAGCAACATGAAGCATTTTAATATCTAAATTAGTGGTTCACATTACGCGACGCGAGGTAATATTAGACCTTCAGCCTTCAGGGTAAATTTTCGTACGGAAAAAGGGCTCTAAAAGGCTCCCGGAGGTAATTGAAGAAAGATAACATTATCGGCTATTTTTAGTCATCCGATATAAATATCTGGATATTAGGGCATAATAAGTATCAATTTTTTAATTTGCGGTTACCCCTCAATGTTTTATCGATATGTACACAGATTCACAATGGCTGTGTTCGTATATTCGCTGCCAGTACTGAAAATATTTGTGTTACGCATATTATATTGGGTCGTTCGATAAGTTCGTAGGGGTTTTCTGCGAAGGGTTCGAGGCCGATACTTTTTTATAGTTGGGCATAACTTTATACAGTAATGTATCGATCGTTTTTTTCGAGAACAGAAGGTCGTCGGAAAAAACGACAGAGAGAAAATAAGACTATCTAATGGGGGTATTGATTTTGAGAGATTTTTGTAAAACTCTCGACGGACTTGTCGAACAATTCACAATAGACTGACAATGAATATATATGAATACAGCCCAATAAAACGTATAAAATATTTCTTAAACATGTAAAATAAACTGCATTTCTGCAGTTCATCATTTACGCTGATTTGACGCAAATTTACCAAGAAACTTGTCGACTGGAGGGAGGTTCTTAAACAGAGAAATTTTCCTGTACATCAAATCCCGTAAGAGCCAATGGCCTTTAATATTACCTCGTCGGTGCGTCACGCTAGAAGCTAAATAAAATCGAATTTTTTCTTCTTTCACAGCTGATCAGATTAAGACCACGTGACCGCGTTTCGACACTGCAATGAGCATCTCACAAGTTGACACCTGGTATTCATAGTCAAATTTTATATTTAACCCTCGCAAGAAAAAATGAAATAACGAAACATGAACAGAAAGGAGTCGTGAGTGATCCAAATATATGAATATGCATTCCGTTTGATTGAAACTAAAGTTCATTAATCATATGGAACCAATAAGCAAGAATATAAAAAAAAAAACAATATATAATAATATAATAAATAAACATCCCTTGCTGAAGTAATGAATGACTCCGATTTTTCCTCGCGAGGATTAAGACTATCTTAAGTTCATCTTCAAATGCATCCCCAATAAACATTAACCAAGATGAATTTAAGACGATCCTAAATACAAGATCCGACTATAAATACCAGTTCTAGACTCTCCGGATTGCGCGCATAAAAACGCATTTTAGACAAATTCGCGCCACCGATCGATCTACTCAAAAAGCATCGCGTCTCCCGTAAAACAATTTTTACCGGCTCATCGTAATCGTTTCAATTGTCTCGCGAGGAGGCGGAGACGCGAAGTGCCGAGAATTCCCTTTGTTCCGGTCGTTTTCTTCGCGGAACACTCGACCGAGTTTATTGCTGACACGCGCTGTGACGATATCGGAAACCCTTTTCTGGAACCCGACGGTCGCCAGAGACACGCAGTCTCGTTTACCGCGCGCTTCTCCCTAAGAAAATTCTCTCTCGCGGACCGAGCGTCGATGACAGCTAGACTAGAACATCGATTGATATTACGCTGTAGTCGCGACGTAACTACCGTGCATCTTGCTTGGAGGAGAGAGACTCAATAACGCGCTTGAGAGTTTTCATCGGCGTCCGCAGTTTTTACATACACACATATATATATTTTTTTACACACGAGCGAGACACAATGTCATCGTAGCTGCAGTCGCCAGTCCTCCTTTGACCCTATAAGCGCGTAATATTCCTAGAATATTATATGAATATTATTATTATATACATTATTATTATATATTATATTATATACATTATTATTCAATATTAATATAATATTGAATAATAATAAATTAATATAATATTATTATATATATTATTATTCAATATTAAAATAATATTCTTGTAATATTCTAAGAATGTTATGTAATACTGTTTAATATTATAGGAATGTTCTATTTAGATGTTATATGTCCACATAATATTCTTGGCATATTATACAAATATTCTTAGAATATTAAAAAAAAAAAAAAATACTAATAATATAGAAAAATATATATAAATTAAATTCTTTCGATTTTATTTATATAATACAACAATTAGTATTGTAATATATTTGGAATAAAATAACTTCAATTATATGTATTATGTATATACATAGAGTTGAATATTTAAAAATATATAATATTACAGTAACATTAAATGATATTATTTTTTAAATATTATTAGGAGTGGACATAGAACCATCTATTAATATTCCAGAAATATTACTTAATATTAAATAATATTACGCGCTTATAAGGGAGGCAATCAGAGTTCGGCGTTTATAAGCCTTGCGTCGGATGCGAATAATAAAGTTCTCCACGCCGCGAGAGGGAACTCATATTGTTGTTTGTTGTTGTTGGTACAAGCGATATCCTATGCAGATTTTATGTACACCGGAGAAAGAGAGAGAGAGAGAGTGAGGAGGGGAGGGAGAGAGCGAGGCAATCGCATAATGCAGGTTCGTAAGTAACCAGCCGTATTGAAAGTTGCGCGAGAGGCCTCGTCGTCGGCGTTGACTCATCGCAACGATCGAAATGTATCGAAAATAACAAGACAAAATTCGCGTTGAATTACTTTCGTTGAGAAAACACGGGGGAACGGAGTAACGGGTGTGAAATCACCGGATTCAGGTGTTGGAGGCGGAAAACCGCTTCGCAATCGATACACTCCTCGCGGAAAATCGTGGAGGATTGAAAAAGGTGGTAAAAAAGTCTAAGCTTCCGAAAAGTCGGTGAAATTTGACTTAATACAAAAGCAAAATCCTGAGATGATTTAATGAGGAATTATATTACACTGTGAAATTATATTTATCGAGGAATAATCCGGTGCGTACGTTAATATACAGTTTAAGCTTTACATCCTCCCGCAGACGTATTAATATTGATAATATTAATATTTAATAGCACTATAGAAAATCTGTGCTCGGGCTCGTTAAAGGCCTGTGACTCTATTTTTTTCGTTAAATCAAGTAAATCAGCCGTTTTACATATAAAACTTTGAAACACTTCATTTCTGCGATATTTTTTTTTCGATGCCATTTTATCAATTTTTGTCGAGTATTTCTTTTCCTCTTAGTGCAAAGTACAGAGGAAAGCTTTCAAAACATAGCGCCATTTATCTCTATTAAAAGTGCCAGCCGTATCATTTGCAATCTTTGCTAAACCGATATGCACGGTAGGGCGGATTGCAGCAGTTTCATATGGTAATATTTTTAAAATTATATTTTTATTACATCTTTTAAATTTAATTTTTTCATTTATTTTGATATATTAGCCTACTAAAATGATTTCGTATCCGATTAATTCTTATACCTGCAGTAACGAGTTCAATTTTACCGACTTTTCACAAGTTCGAACTTTTCTACCCCCTTTAACGCGCGCCGCAAGACGAAAGTCTCCTCTTCAGGCATGGTAAAGGCGCGACTTCGAGTTCGTCACGTCGTCTGCACCGAGAAAAGAAAGCGGTGGGATTACTGAGACGACCTCGTTCGGACGAGCAAAATTTGTTCGAGTGAACGATCGAACAGATTATACACAGTAAAAAATTGTGTTTGTTGAAAACAGTCCACTGAAATTTTGCATTACTTTAACACTGAGGAGTGTGTTAAAAAGTACACAAATATAACATTCAATTAACACTTTCATCATGTTGACACATTGTTGTTGCGCCAGCCCAGGTAAACACCAACAATAGCATTGCATCGATGTTACAATTTCCCACTCGACAGCGCAAGTGCAATATAACACACGTATGTAACACGTTGCATCGTCGAGTGGGAAATTACAACATTGACGTAATGCTTAATTTGGTTTGCGAGTTAGCGCCGCGTTCTTCATGGAATGATTTCCAATGTTTCGTGGAACGCTTCAGATTCACTTCTTCAGGGTGAGAGATCGATCCGAAATTGATCGACACCATGTTGCTGATCGATGTTTACCGGTGCGATGGGGAATTTTGATGTAAACGAGAGAGACCGGCGATTCTGTCGACCGCCTCTTCTTCTCGGCGCAGACCTTGCATCGTGTCCTTCGCGGGTTCCTCGTGATCGCGAGATGAGATCGGGAGCGGAGCTTTTGGGTGAGACGCGCGACGACCAGCCGACCGACCGGCAAGAGCGGCGAGTGAGATCCGAAGAGAAATCGTTTATTCTCAAGATCGAGAAGGGAGTGGAGGACGCTCGTTGAACTGTTTTATATGGCGCTGACGATGGTGTCGCGATGCCTTTGAGCCATGACGCCGACCTGGCAGCTGTCCGCGCTCGATCTCGGACTGATATTGCACTCGATCATGGAGCCGTTGCGCTTCTGCACCACCACCGAGCGGAACTCGCCGCACTCGCTGGTCGACGGCTGATTGCCTCTCGCGCGCGCCCCCTTCGTGAGGATCCTCTTGAACGCCTCCCGGAACTCAGTGTTGAAGATGCTGTAGATTATCGGGTTGAAGGCCGAGTTACTGTAGCCGAGCCACGTGAGAACCTGTTCAAGGAGGAACAGCCGTCTCAGTCGATCACCGGGAGAAATTCTACGCTTCTTCCGGGGGAATGCTCGGTCGAGACACGAGAGTGGTCTCTGAACTATAAGCGGGATTTAAAGAGAGGGAAGTTTCAATCGAAAAGAATTTAACGGTGGGATTTCATTCCGTGCTTAACTTTAAGTGGGATCTTGCAGATCTTAAGTGAAGATTCTATTTTAAACAATCTCGGCAACTTTTGGATATCATCGGTCGGGTTAACGTCGAGAATAAAAAGAGGGGGATGTGGCAGTTTCTTTGAGGTATTCCCAAAGAATCTCAAACTTCTTAATGAGAGTACCGAGTGCACGGGAGAACGAAACTCGCGACTTCCTTCTCGCCGAGAGGAGCCGGGCGTACCTGGAACGCTCGGAGAGATATGCAGGTCTTGCAGTAGGCTGCGACAATGTTGACGCAGAAGAAGGGCACCCAGCATATCAGGAATACGCCCATGATTACGCCGACGGTGATCGCGGCCTTGTGGTCGGACACGTGGTAAGGGCTGGTCGGCTTCGTCTTCGTCTGCGGCTTCGGTGGCTTACAGCGACTGCTCTTCGAACGAAAACTCTTGGCCATGGAGGTGTCCGGCAGCTTCGTCACCGCCCGGATACTTCTAACGTGTTTCTGCGCGTAGCAATAGAGCCTGCAAGAGAAAAGACGGCGAAAGGAGAAACAACCTCATCGACGAAGTGAGACCAAACGTCTCCTTTCCTTGTCTCTTTTCTTGCGTTTAAACGGTTCAGCACGATATCGTAGCTCGTACTATGTTGTAGAACGAAAGATTGAACACAGGTACAGAATATCGATTCGGGAAATATCGTCACTGAGTGACGTGTGACTCGCGCACGGACGAACGATTGCGCACGAGTGCGGGAATAAAACGTCAAATTAATGGGCTCCTCCGGCTGGCTCAGCACCGCGCGCGTGCGTGTCTTACCTGCAATAAATCCCCAACATCACGATGCAGGGCACGTAGAAAGATATGCAAGAGGACACCACCGCGTAAGTGGGTGTAATGTCTAGGGCACACGTAGGGTGCTCCTGTAAGGGTAAAAGAGACGTGTTAACGCGCGCGGCGGGAGGATTGGCGCAAACCGTTTGCGGACGTGAATGGCAGCGGCAGGGTAAAATGAGAAATGTCATGTCTATTTTTAACGCCTCCGCTACTCAAAAGTGCATTCCACGACAATTCATACAAGTTCTCGCTTATACATCAAGCGGGTCGATGAGTTTCATTTTCGCCGCGTTACGCCACGTCTGCTAAGACGTGGCAGTTGATATTGCGCGAACTACCGATTGAATTTCTCAGTCTTATGCCGCAGCGAAATATCAAAGGGTGGGCGAAGGAGAATCTTGGAGATTCTGGGCGAGAAATATCATATCCGATAATATTGAAATCGATAGTTTATTCCGGAATGTTGAACGTTATTGTCTTCGAATTGTAATTTCCAGTTTGTTAATCTTGCGCCGCGAGTATCGAAGCGAACCGAAGAGTCTCGGAAGTTCTGGGCGGAAAAGGTTATCCGATAATTTTCCGAAGGCGATGGCTTACTTCGACGTATTAAGGTGACACTGGACCTTTGAAATGACAGGAAATTGGCTTTTGGATTTTAATGATTTCTTACGGGGCAATTTTTTAACAGTGTTTTGCCGCTTATTGAACTTAAAAATACTGAAAATTGTGATTTTGACAGCTGAAAAACGAAAGAGAAAACTTAGTAGTTAAAATAAGAATAATTCTACGAACTGTTTACGTAGAAATATTGAATGAAAACAATAAAATTATTAATAATAGTGATAGTAAGGAAAATAAGGGCCAAATGCAGTTGTTGTTTGCTTATATTATAAATTAATAATATAATTTACAATAATATTGACATTTCGACAATTATTGCGGTCATCTTCAGCCAATTTACGTAAAAATATCACCTGACTCAGCACAAAAATATAAAATGTATAATTCAGAAAATATCATTTATAAAATATCATTTTTACACGATATACACTAATATAAAAAGAAACAAAATTAACATGATTTATATATTATAAAATGATCAAACTTACATATACTTTGCATGATATTTCGGAAAGCAATCCATGCATAATTGTTATGTCAGTTTTCTCAAGAGAGTATACTTACATTAGATAACATATGAGATACGGAATACGTAAGGAAGGGTAAACAATAGAAACCATCATCCGTTTTCATTGGACATATAATTTCTTTTATATTCTGACTCTGTACACGGTTGAGCGCGTTGCGACTTTGGGCACCCCGTGAGCTTCACTAACTCGAAACTCGCTGGGCGGTCTAAGTGTCGGTGAAACGATCGAGAAACATTCTCTACGGGAGGACATACCTCTATTTCGTCATTATAGAGCGCTGGCTGACCTGCCCTGTGAAGATCTAGGCTGATCGGTACGAAGGATATAAGTCCTGCCAAGAGCCACACGACGGCGATGCCGCCGATAGCGACTCTTCTAGTCACCCAACGGCCGTATCTGAAATGGCGCAGGGCATCCAAGTCAAGGAAGAGAGAAAAATTCATCTTCAGGAGAGGATTGTCACCGGCTCGAAAGCCGTCCTTGAAAGTCACCAGGTTAAAAATCGAATTGCTTCACGTACGCGCGCGACTCCCAAGGAGAACTCTTCCCTTTGAATTACAAGATTCGTCCAAACTCTCTTCACATAGTTCTCGATTCTCGCGTGTACGGCTCGCCGTAGCTACGGAATCGGGGAGACCGATCGGTGCGGCCGTCGGCTTTACCTGAGGGGATCCTTGATGTGAATGTAACGGTCGAGGGAGATGGCGCATAAATTGAGGATAGAGGCAGTGCTGCACATAACATCGAAGGCGATCCAGATGTCGCAGAACCACAAGCCGAAGATCCAATAGCCGAGGAGGTCGTTCACCCCGGCAAAGGTCATTACCAGCCCACCGACGAAGAGATCGGCGACGGCGAGCGAGGCCAGGAAGAGGTTGCCGATCCTCCGTAGCCCGCGGTCGGTGTAGATCGCCACGCAGACCAGAACGTTGCCGGCGACCGAGAAGAATATCAGGATCACAAGGAGGAATCCTGCGGCACCGAGCAGAGGGGGGCTCGTCTAGCGGTGAATCGCACGCTATTCAGCCCGTAACAACGCGTCGCCCCTCGAAGCACACGGCCCCGACAAAATCCGTGTCGCTCGTGTACGATCAGTGACGAAAAAAGGTCACAACACTTTTCGGGACCGTTCAACGCGAATTACGTCACGCGAAATTTCAGTATTTTACCTCCTCCTCTCCCTTCGTCATATTTCGTCACTGAGTATTTAGACCTCCTTCCAATACTACGCGTAGAATTATCCTTTCCCCGCCTCCATGTGAAATAAGAAAAAAAAGAATTTATCACCATATTGTGGATAATAATTACGAGACTGCGCACTTTATATATTATCTTTTTCTAAAATATAAATAATTAAATAAATTGGGGAATTTATCGTGCTGCTCGGGTAAGAGACAAATTTTCCCATTGGACATGCGGGATGCGTTCCGAAAGTAATAAAAAAAAAAAAAAAAAAAATTGCCGGAACCTCTTTGTGTGACTGACCATATACGACGAAGAACGACACGATTGACCCCGCAGCGAATCGACAATGACGATGTCACTCATGTCGAGACGCGGTATCGTCGACGATGTCCCTCCGAGTGTTTTGTCACTCCGTCAACGGATACATATGTTCTCCGAGGAATTTCGAAATGACAGAACATTCCCAAAATTCCGCGCGCACAAGCTGGTATCCTCTTTCTCTCTCTCTCTCTCTCCGTGCACAAAGGAGCCTCGGGAACTTCGAGCTCCGTAATAATGAAATAGTCTTCGGTGAGTTTCGTGCGGATTGCACCTCGAGGAAAGTATCGAGAGGACGGCCATACTTTCCTCGCAACTTTTCATGTTTCAGTTTTATACACACATATATTTCTTCTTTTTATTGTTTTCTTTTCCTTCCTTTCTTTCTTTCTTTTGTTATTACATCGCGATCACGAACGCTGTGAGAAAGGTAAGGTCTGGTCGAACGTGGACGAACGAAATGAACGCCGATAAATCCGTTCCGGTTCACGTGCATATCCCCTTTAAAGGGCTAGAACTTCAGCAGAGTATATAATTTGCTCCGTGAACCTTTGTTCTCTCGATAACGTGAGCGCGCCTCACGCGCGCGCGCACACACAGTCCGACAAAATTCGTAGGGCGTCTCTCGCGAGGAGTTCATCCAGTTATCTACCGGAATTTCAGAGAAGGATCTTCATATTCCGCGATCTCTTGCACGCGAGAGATCTCGTCTCTGCTCTCACCCCGCTTTACGCAACATCTCTCTCTCTCTCTCTCTCTCTCTCTCTCTCTCCCGCCTTTCGAGAGAGTCACTTTCACATAAAGAGATTTATCTTAATTTAAATACGCAACAGAGTACCAATTAGCCGTGACGTTTCGCTGTTAACGTTTTCCCGTCGTTTCCCGTCGTTGCTCTAGTCGCGAGATTCTCGAGGGACACCGAACTCTCCCTTGAATCTCGACTGAGAGATTCTCCGCGACAGAGCCATAATCTCCGCGTTTCTGATGAAACTTTCCATTTGTTTTCTATTCTTGTACTGGCTGCATTAATTCAAGAAGCGTATACTGAAGCGTCTCTTATTCCAGAACTGGTGTCGCAGTGCAGGAATAGAAAACAAACTCTCACGGCATTGAGAACACTCGACATCGATACCTTGACGGCGCGGAAGAGAGCCAGGGACGAAAAAGCGTCGGACGGAAACTGTCAGACGGCGTGACAGCGGCGAACGTCGGCGGGGCAGAAATTATGACACTTGCCCTCGGGACTCGCGTCCAATCATAATTTATTCGATTCTATCGGCGATATCGGACGGACAGAGAGAGGGTGAGAGAAGGAGGGAGGATTTCTCAGGTGAGGGGAAAACGACGGCCGGGAAATAAGGACAGGCAGTGAGGGTGTCGGGAGGGATGGATGGTACAGGAGCGAGAGAGAGAGAGAGAGAGGAGTAGCGGACTACCGGAGGTATGATTGGACGAGCTCTCAGATCGGAGTTTCCGAGAGAGAGAGAGAGAGATAGAGAGAAAAGGCACTCTCGGGAGGCTGTCTTCGAGGGGCGACTTCGCGATCGATCAAATGGAAAGTTTAGCGAACCAACTAGGAGCACCGACAGCAGCGAGAAAGCGTCTTCAGGCAGATCTTCTTCCCCGTCTGTCAGGTTACTCTGCGGAAAGACAAAGAGAGAGACTCGCGTGAGTGCGAGTGCGGCGATTTATACAGTGGGGGGAGGGGGGAGGGAGACGGCATGAAGCGGGGGGCTTGCAGAGCGGGGTGTCTACTGGGAAAAAGGGTGCTGCGAAAATGATCAGAGTTCGGCTTTGCGTCGGCGCTTCCGACGGTGCAAACACAAGCGACGCGATTACGTAAGGATAAATATGCAGACAACGAGCAAGAAACATCCAACAGAGAAAATGAGAGAGAGAGAGAGAGAGAGAGAGAAAAAGACAGAGAAAGAGAATGGGGGAAACATCTAAAGAACATCGTAAAAATATCTAAAGAATGTCATCTGAGGGGTTATTACGGCTCTCAAGATGAGATGAAAATGACAAAAGTGAGCAAATTCACTAGACGCTGACCGCGATGAAATTATGAATATTCCAGTAAATTCGCCCGCTTTTGTAATTTCCATCCCGTCCTGAGAATGTCGCAACAGCCTGTCCGGTCCTCCGAACGTCTCTCGACGTCCCCCGGATCCCTCGTAATGGTTAATCGGGCAAGACAATACGGCGGACATCTTCGTGCACATGCACGTGATCCGTACAGACTCAGTAAGATGATAAGATCGGTAAGATGATGAAATGCAGACATACGCGCGGTTTACGTCGTAGCGGCTGTCGTTTGCCGCGAAAGAACAACCGACCGCGACTTCAAGTNCCCCCCCCCCCCCCCCCCGCGCGGTCGTCGCGCGGGGCGAGGCGATTTTTCATCGCAAGACATATCTTCGCGTATATACGCGGAGAACCTATCTCTCAAAAGCAACAAAGCTGCTTCAGCTCAGCTTTTTACGGCGGCATGCGGACCGCTCTGTGATAATGATCTGCGTTACACACCTGGCGTGTATGTACGCTTGTGTACGTGTGTAATTACGCCCGCTGCCACTTTATCGCGGGATTTATCCGAGACTGCCGGGCGATAGCTGCGCGCTCCTATCTCGCTGATAAAGCCGAAGTATCACCTATTACCCGTCCCGACGATGATTTGACGGTGCGATACGATCGTGCATATTCTAATAGCGTCAATTCCGGGTACCCGAACATCTTCCAGCCGGATGATGCCCGAGTCTTTCGGGTGTCACCCGGGTATCTTTCGGGGGTACTTTTCAAATTATTCGTGCACCAGAGCGTCCAGTTATTCACTTTTATTTTTATGTTTGCTTATTTATTCCTTGCGTCGTTTTTCAAGCATGTGAGTATCAAGGGGAGATTAACAGAAAGTGGACACACATTGCGGAATATTTAATTTTTATATCAGAATATGTCGAGATAAAATATGTCAAGATATGTCGAGATATCCGGCTAGCTGACGGGTTTTCGAGCAGGAAGAATAATATATGAAAATAAAATAGCATATATATACAAAAATATATATAACATATCCGCTATATAGGGTGTCGTGAGATTAGACCGGCAAACTTCGGGTGTTGAAATAAAGCACACCGGGACAAGTAATCTGCGGGTATGGGAGGAATGTTTTACTCGAATCTAGTACTTTTCCTTCCGTGTGGATATCCGGGGCTAGCAGTTTCGGAGTTTAAGTTCCTCTGGGAATATAAAAATATAGCAAAATATTGAAATTCTATCCTGACGGCATTAGAATAAGTCGTTGACGACGACGACGGCGAGCGTCTATATTAATTCGACCGTGTGTACGAGTATCCACGCGCGCGCGCCGTAATCGATATTTATGCAGATTTCGCGGTTAAATGCATAATGCATGAGTCGAAAACAAATAAATTGCTATCGCGTGTTTGCGATATTTCGTCGTGCTTTACGAGCAGCGGGCAGCGGACGCATGGGACGTCCGCGAATCAATCATTGCGTACTTGCGCGATCCACGCACGATCCTCTCTATGCGCACATTGGCACATTCGAGATTCCGCTTTCGTGACTTCGTCACGAAAGTGGAACGGACCGGCGGACGAATAAACGACTCGTTTATCGATTCGTTGGATATGCAATGCATCGCGCACTCCGCGCAGGTACTTTATATTCTATAGCCGCGGCTTATATTATAATATTATGCTAAGCCGCAGCCCTTTGTTGTATTACAACTCGAGGAACGCTTCATTCGAAATTTCGATCGCATAACTTTGCATAAATAATTACGTCGATGCAAATTACGGCGCGCGCTCGCGAAATTAAAGCAAAAGCGCTACCGCGATAAGCATTTTTCTTTCGCTCTTTCTCTCTCTCTCTCTCTCTCTTTTTCGCAGTGCACCATAAGTGTGTTCCATCGTGCTCGGAATTTTGATTCGCAGTTTCCAGAATGAAACTTCCGAAAGGTCCTAAGTCGCGCTTTTCCCGTCTCGAATTGCGATCTTGATTTCCGACTAATCGTTCTCGCGGACGTTCTGTCTCGTCTTCTCCGACGAGAGAAAACCCCGATCTCGTATTACTCGTACTACTCGATCATTACATTCTCTTCTATCAGTTATATATTACGAGTGTTCCATACAAGGATGGTGTTTCTATTGTTCCCGCAACAAGAGCGGGAATATCGACGAGCGTGAATTCGCCGTCCGGTTAAAAATCGTTAAAAATAAAAACGTGTTCTCGCTTATACGTGTACAATTGTGTGCTCCCGTGTGTGTGGAATTGCTTTCCTTTTTTCCTGCAACGTTTATATTTCGACCGGACCGGTTGCTGTGCTGGTTAACAGGAAAAACCGAAACATTTTGCAACATAATATAAAAGCGTTTTCGATCTAGAACAAAACATACTACACTCAGGGAACATGTATGCTTTGTAAAAGATGCACACGTTTGTGGCCTCGTTCTGACAGATCTATCCTGCGTAAAATTCAAGTTGATCAATTCTAACGTACATAAAGACAGACAGACAGAGAGAGAGAGAGAGAGCAGATTATCTCGATGGAAAAAAGGGAATTTGCGACGGAATGTGAATATTTCGCTCATCACTTTCTCGACGTAACGCGTGATACGAGGGCGGATCACGCCCCTTTGTACATCCCCTCATGATATCTCAGGCATTGAGCGTTTTAATGGCGAACGCTTTTAACCTGTACGTTCGTACAGGATATCGCCGCCGCCCGGCGTAACGGCAACGGTGCGTGAATAGAGCGCGGCAAGATGAAACGCATTAACGTCGTGAACACGCGCGCACGCCTCGAATGAAAGAATGTGTTAATAGTTACACGCACAGAGAGTGAGAGAGTGTGCGAGAGTAATTGATCTCTGACAGGTCGTTATCACGTAACTTATACGAACGCGACTCGCGCTAACGTACGCGATTCTAATTATAACGCGCAGCAATTGCGTTTCCGCGGTAAATTCAAACGCACAAGATAATGTTTTACAGAAAAATAGGGAGAGAGAAAAAGAGAGCGAGTACGAAATATTTCCCATTTTTTGTATCACTTTTTATTGTTATTTTCGTATAAAAACGGGGATGCGTAACGCGCTGAAAACACAATAAGCCGGCGGAAGTAATTAAAAGCGACCGTGAGCGAAATAGCGGGGAACCTTTAATGTTTAAAATCCAGTTGCACCCTTTGTTCCGCAGTCCCTCGTCCCCCCTCCCGGCTCGCATCCCGTTCATGCCGTTCGTGTGTGTGCGCGATAATTTTCACCGGAGATTTGTGTCGTATTTTTTTGTTTTTCTCTCCCCCTCCGCAATTGTTGCGCGAAACGACCGATGATGATGACCCACGTGCGATCGCAAAAGACGCGACGACGAAGACGATAACTTTCTTCCGATTAACATCTGTCAGTGGGTCGTTTTCTATCGTGCGAATAGCTCGCCACGAGGGCGAGCCGAGACTCTGTGTGTGTGTGTGTGTGTGTGTGTATTTGTGTGTGACACAGTGACGCTGACACGTGACATATATCCCGCGCTTCATTTATTTCCTTTCTCTCTCGGAACTTTCGTACCGAGCGGAACCGGTTCGGGTCAACGATCGATTCCGCGTCCCTGGGAAACGACGATTCGTGTCTGCCTGCGTTTGACGGTCCTCCCGGCGGTCTTCTCGGCCCGCCGTCGAATACGCTCGCGTTCCCTCTCCCTCCCCTCTCCCCTCTGTATCGCAAGAAAAGAGATCCTGCCGGCTCCGTTAATTAATTTATGCCGGCCGGAAACGTTATTCGCGCGGTGAAAGCGCGTTTTGCAAACTGCCGCGCATACATCTCGCCCCGTCGAAATCCGTCCTTTTCGTTCTTTTTCCCGGCGGCCGGCCGAGTCGCATATGTCACAGGCGTTTCTTCCGCTTGATTATTGTGAGACGTATAATTATTTTAAATTTTATTGCATTCCCTTGCTCGGATTTATCGGTATAATATTCTTTTCGTTAATTTAACAGATGTCGTGATATTTTATGAAATATTACTGTAAATTCGTTTTATGTTATTAATAGTGGCGAAAGAACATACGTCGGGCTTGAACAAAAGTGGCCGTTGTTCCGCCTACCGTTTTTCGCCACCATTTTTCGGGTGATTACGCGTTTGTTAGAATTATTCGTATTTGCGAGCGAAATAATCGACGATTCGGGGAACCACCTTCGGGGAGACCAAGCGATAGTAATATCTCACGCGAATCCCTTTCCTCCCCGTTAAACCCCCGTTGAGTCAAACAAAGGGGTAATTAATACGATCGCATCATTCATAGCGAGGGAAACAAATTCATCGCGGATTCAGATCAGCACGTAAGAAAAATTCCAGTATCCAAAAATTACAATATCAAGATTCGAGTTTTTCATACATAAATAAAAATCGATATAATCGAATAGAATAGACATATAACGCATAATTTTATACGTGAAAATAGAACCGCATGAAAAAAATTCTATATAGACTTTTAAATCGATACTAGTTTCCTTTTTATGTTCGCGCCGATCGCTCGGGGAGGAAAGATTATCTGAAATTATTTAATCGACGGCGACGGGCGCCGCTCGTGACGGCGGCTTTTTACAAGCTTTAAAATATCCCATGAA